TGGGCCCTCAGGGTGGGATGGATCCAGAGCTACAGGGAAGGTAGCCTGTGGCTGGGGGAGCCCAGGAGGTGGTGAGAATTCTTTGCCTGCTCCCAGGGCTTTCCCTGGCCACCTCGCCCTGCCTTCAGTCCTGTGAGTGTCTCTACAGACCCTGAGCATCCCCTCTCTCCTAGGGGATGCTGCTCTTTCCACCATGAGGGCCATCAAGCCTCAACATGTGATTTCTGCTGGTTGCTATGTCTATTTTGGTCACAGGCACTTGCAGCCTAGGGCTGATAGTTCAGAGAAGATGTAAAGCAAAGCTTCTCCCTGTAGGCTGGGCAGGGCAGGACTGTGCGGAATGGTAGTTCAGCGAAGTGGGGAGAAACCTGCTAGTCTGCTGGCAAAGGCAGGGAGTGGGGACATCAGAAAGTCTGTGTAGTGGGACTCTTGGGCCAAATCAGTGGTGTCAGCTAACCTAGAGACATCTGGACCCAGACCCAGGAAGGATTAGCACTCAGAAGCCATGCAAAGTAGGTCTGTGTGCAAGGTAGGATGTGTGCCTGAGAACAAGGGTGAGAGGTGACCTCATGGCCAGTTAATCAAACCCAGTGGGGGAGGAGTAAGGTATGAGTAGCTCAAGGAAAGGAGAAACAGGCTAGAACAGAATCAGCTCACACACGGATGGCTGTGGTACAGGCTGAGTGGCAGGCATTGCACTGCCTGCTGTGTGGCACATGGAGCTACTTGGGATGGAGCTCTTAGGGCAGTCTGGCCATGGGGTGAGGCTGATGCCCATGCACCCTGCAGGCCTGGCCCTGTTCTGGAGTTCCTAGGGCATGTTCTATGTGGGGTGAGGGTAGCCAGGCCTTGGTGGAAGGGCTAGGAGGGGAGGGTCTTGCCAGGGGAATGGATGCTGATAGGTAGCACTAGGTGAAACCAAAAATGGAGAGCCTTCAAGGTGAAGCCAAAGATGGAGAGCCTTCAAGGAGAGAGGACTGCCACAGCCAAGGTGGAGAGGAGTGGAGGTGGAGACTATGTAGGCAGCAGCAGGAGACAACTTCGTGGGGAGCTCAGAATCTGGGCTTGGCTGGGCAGTGGAGGACATGGCTGTGGGGAGAAGTGAAGTGAGGAGAACTGGTGGAAATAGGACAATCAGGAGGTTACTAGGATGTGTGAGACTTCGGGCCCCAGAGGACTTTCCACAGAGACCATTGTCAAGAGATTCGGTATTCTGGCCAGCACTCACAGGCAGTGGGAACCTAAGACCCTCTTTTGTTCCAGTTGCAGGGTAGTTGGTTGTGGAGGGGCTCAACTCATCCAGGAGAAGTCTTTCAGTACCAAAGGGTAGGCTTTCCTAGGTGACCTCTGTTGTGTCTCCTGAATGTCAGGGGTTAGTGTACACTGCAGTCACACAACCAGACACTGAATTAATGTGACTCGTATTCTCTGTGCCTTTCATGACCATGGACAGTTGTTGCCCATGTCTATCTCTCTTATACTCAGATAAGAACTGTGCTTAGTTGGCTTTGGTATCTGGCTATGTTTAGGTAGAAAGACAAGTGTTTGCACTTGTAGAGTGCTGACTTCCCATCAGGCAAGAGACGGAACACGTGTGGATGTTAGGACATTCATCAGCAATGTAATAATAACATATGTGCTCCTTTGTAGGTTATACATTTCATGAGAAGATCAGTTTCTCAGATATTAATGAGAAGTCTGACTATATTGTTTAAGGTCCTTCATCTCTAAAACTCTACTTCCACTAGGTACCCTAACGTTAGCAATCAGGGACCAAACTTCAAAGAAGGTGATGGAGGGGCTTCTCCACACAGTGGCAAGCATATGAGCATCATCTAAGAGGTTTAGGACCTGAAAATGGAGGTGGCTCCCCAGGGGGTGCTTTAGAGAAATTCACAGACAATGGCCCTGGGTTGGACAGTTCAAGAGGAATAAGGGCTGCTTGGTTAGATGATTAAGCGTGACAGTAGGAGCCTGTGAGGAATTAGTAATGTCACTGCGCTCAGGGCTCAATGTGGAAGGATGAAGTATTCCATCTGGGACACAGAGCCATGCCTAGAAGCACTGTGGCCTGGTCCTCACCCAGAACGCACTCCCAGCCCTGTCCAGAAGGAAGGCCAGCATGACTCCAGCCTGCTCCATGGCCACTGGTAAAGATGGCAGGTGGGCAATCAGGTGTTGGCTTGAAGACTGTGTGATCCCAGACTCTGGTGGGGGAGACCATGTCCTACCAACTGTGGGTTTGTTATTTAGGTTAAAATCCATTTGTCCTTAAAAGCAAATTTTACCTTCTGCCTGGGGAGGAGCTTCCTCTCGAGAGGTGGAGAAAGAGGTAAATGTGTGCCTGTAGGACATACCTGCACAGTAGTCATCTCACCATGACCCCAAGGACCCTCCATGGCCAGCAGATCACTATGCAGGGTCTTCACTGTGGAGCAGAGGGTAGTCCCTGGGGTGCTCTGCTCTTGGTGGCTGGTTCCACACAGTACACCGAGCAGCAGAGGGGAAGTCAGGCAGAGAGGTTGCTGGGTAGATGCTGTGTCAGTTCAGCAGAAATGATCCTTTCATCCAGGCACTACCCAAAGTTGAGGTCTCCTTGCCCACTGAGAAGAGGTCAGCAGGCCCAGGGAGGGCTGTGGTGCTGGCCCTGGAAATGAGTACCAGAGCCTGGCTCTCCCTCTCCCTGACTCTCAGGCAGGAGCCCACATGCCAGCCCCCCTAGGTGGTGAGGGATCTGCTGGGATCTGCCCCACTGGGTATGCACCTGAAGTGATCCAGTCGTCCGCTTATTGTCCACTAGGGAGTGGTTCTTGAGCCTGTGCTTTGTGCAGCTTCTGACTTGAATTGCAAAGATGAAAGAGCCTCTCCATTAGGCCCTAGAAGTTAGGGAAGGTGGACCCTAGCCCTGCCAGTGACCATGACAGAAAGGGGGACCTTTGGGAGGTACTTGGGTCCAGAATATGAGAGAGTGGACTCCCATGATGAACTGGGAGCCTGCTAGGAAGAGGAGGGGAACCAGGGCTCTGCTACTCTCACACACCATGAGGCCATGAGAGGATGGGCACAGGAGCAAGGCCCTCACCAAGAACCCGGCCACACAGGCTCCCTCATCTGGGACTTCAGCCCCAGGACTGTGAGGAACAAATGTAGTTACTGAAGCCCACCTGGAGTGTTCTTCTGCCTCAGTGGGCCCCTGGCTGGTGGGTGCTCTGGGGAGAGGGTGCTGTTCTTTTCTGGGTGCTGAGAGGCTTCATTTTGAAAACTTCTACAGTTGAAGCTGTTGCCACCTGAGCCTGCTACACACCAGTGAACTGGGCCCACCCAGGGTGGTTAGAAAGACCTGAGGGGAACCTTGGGCCACTTATGGCAGTTGAAGCTTAAACTAAGCAGTACTAAAACTGCAGCTCCTCAGTCACATTATCCACCCTCCAGGGACTCAGGAGTCACATGCAGGTAGAGGCCACCATGCCAGACAGCAGATGTGAAACACCTGCGCTGTGGTCCTACCTTTGGGTGGCTGCTGTTCCCACGTGGTGGGAACACCTGGGAGGCCCTGATAGAGCAAAAAGCCTAAGCTACTGGATGAGGGTAAAGCCCTGGAGTGAGGAGGACCTCCAAAGCATTGGGATTCCTGGCTCTCTGACCTTGCTTGGCTGCAGCCTGTCCTTTCCCTTTCCACACATCACTCCTCACTTTCATGTCTATACAGGCTTCTTTGCCATGTTTGCCAGGGATTCAGCATGGTGCATCTTGCACCGTTCTAGCAGCTCTGGAGGACAAGCTGGACCCTGATTCCTGGGCTCACAGCATTTATCAGTGGCACCGGCAGCCCTAGGTGGAGCAAGAGAGAGTTTGCTCACAAGATCTGGAGGAGTGTGGCCATCCAGGCACCCCTCTGAGAACCACAGTGTATGCTGAGGGATCACAGTCATTGCCTCAGTCTTGGGCCAGATAGTGAAGGCGTGCTGTGTGTTCCAAAGCCCTCAGGAGGGGTTGGGGGGGGTGGTATCTATGTAGACACATCTTAGGCCAGGTGGCAATGAAGGTCATAAAGAGAGTTAGGGCTGGGGAAGAGCTATTTTTCAGGATTTTGAGTAGACACTTCCAGAAAGGGAAGGACATGTGGATGGGAGATCCTGACTTTTTCGTTTTGTTTTGCAATATCCTCAGCTTTTTAATTTGAAAAGTGAGACTCACTCATGTTAAAAATGAAGGTTGTCAGTTTGCCCCACAAGTGGGTTTTAAAGACAAGTCCAATGTATGTGTGTGTTTGTACACGTGTGTGTGTGTGTGTACACGTGTGGCATGTGTGGCATTGTATAGAAGCAGAATGCTAAGGCCAAAGACCAGAGCTCGGCCCGCAGCTCCACCCTTGCTGTAGCAACTGATCCCCATATGCTTTGTGTCACAAGCCCCTCTGGGCTCTTCTGGCCACACCCCTCCATCCCTGTGGGGTGAGCAGTGGTAAGAGGGGCTGAGGGACCAGCCCCTGGAGCCTGCACGCCCTTCCAGAGGACCCCATAGGAGTCCAGACCATGCAGCCTCATCCCATGTCAGTCCCGCAGGCTTCTCCCTGTCTATTCTGCTGCATGTACATGCACTGCAGGTCTGAAGAGGTGCCTTGTGTGGAAAATACAGGGCGAGCTGAACTTGACTGGAGGTCTAAGATATTCCTAAGCACCAGATGATGGGGATAAACCTGCGACAGGGAGAGCAGGGCCAGCCAGGCCTCGGGCTCTGCAAACATCAGGGGTGGGCCTTGTGCTCCTTACCTCTTTTGGGCTTTGTGGTCATGTAGAAGAGTACTAGCCAATCCACACTCACCAACAACCACTAGGGAACAGGTATCTGTTGTAGGTGTCAGCCAGGGTCCCATCACAAGTGAAGACAGCTCACCCACGGGGCTAGTTCACCCACTCATGAACACAGGCTTTCATGGTAGAAAGCAAGCGTATGCCTTTCACACCAACTTCCTTCCCACCATGAGATATCTTTTTCAGGCCCAACTCTCTCAGGCCTTAAATGGAGTTTCAGACAAGGCCAAAGAGGCAAAGGAGTTCCTGGTTCAGCTCAAGAACATCCTGCAGCAGATCCAGGTGAGTGTGTGACGGCGCTGGGCGTGTTCTGTGTGCTCAGCCTGCAGAACGCACAGACAGGCAGAAGGATGAGGAGTCTCAGGACAGGTGTTTCCAGCAGAGAATATTAGCAGGTGTGTGGCCTGCTGGGTACCCTTGGGTGCTGGCAGTGCCACTCTCCATCCATTGATGTGGAAGGTGACACCTGATGTGGAAGGCGACTTAAATGAAGCAGGTTAGAAAAAGTTCTGCAAGAGAAGGCTAGAGTGATGTGATCCATTGCCACAGGTGCACAGTCCTATAGGGTGACATCTGCGTAGGGTGCTTCTTAAACCGAAACATGCCCATGTAACCGATGTGCCCACACATAACTGCCTCACTTCCTACACAAGTGTGTTTGTGGAGTTGCTGTGCTCTGTGCTGTACTGAGCCTAGCAAGGGCACAAAGGCCAGCAGACACACAGAGACTGGCCCTATTGACCAGGGGCCTATTCATTCTTCATGTATCTTGCTGGAAACAAGTCTTAGAGCCTCTAAATTCCTAATTAGCCCATAAAGATTGTCTTTGCTAGCTATCTATTACAAGAACATAATTTTTTCTTTGATTTTTCCTGATTATAAAAATAGTACCTGAGACAACCAGCTTATAAGATTGAGAGGTTTGTTTTGGCAGTTGCAGTCCACAGTCACTTGGCCCCATTGCCTTCGGGTCTGGGGCACCACAGCACATCAGGGTGGGGGCACATGGCAGAAGAGGCTGTCACCTCATGGTGAGAGAGAGAGAGAGAGAGAGAGAGAGAGAGAGAGAGAGACAGACAGACAGACAGACAGACAGACAGACAGACAAAGAGGCTAGCATTCCCAATGCCACCGTCAAGGACACAGTGCCAATGAAAGACCTTCCTCCCACTAGGTCCCACCTCCTGAAAGTTTTACTACCTCTGCGTAGCAGAAAAAGTCTTCAACACATGAGCCTTTGGGGACCATTCAAAATCCAAACAGTAGGCCAGGCACGGTAGTGCACAGCTGTAATCCCAGCTACTGGGGAGGCTGAGGCAGGAGGGTAGTAAGTTGGATGCTAACCTGAACAAGTTAGCAAGACTTGTCTCAAAATTAATTTTTAAAAAAGACTGGGGATGCAGCTCTGTGGTATACTTGTTAGTATGCATGAGGCCTTAGGTTCGGTCCTCAGTGCTGAAGAAAAAAGAAAACAAAGAAACAGAAACTTCAGCCAATCTCATCTCCCTACCAAGCTCAACTCAGACTTCAGTGCAAACATTTTCAGTCCCAAGGTTTCCGCTGTTTCACAGACATGAGATGTGTTCATTTGTTAGGGCACAGCATAAACTGCCAGTGGTGGGGCGACTTAAAGAACAGAAATTTATTCTTTCAGTTGTGGGGGCTGGAAGTCCAGGGGTGGGCAGGCACTTTCTCCTGGGGCCCCCCTCCTTGGCTACAGGTGGAGTCTCCACCCAAGCCCCCTGTACACCCCCCGTCCCTTTTCTAACAGTGCCCCCGGCAGCCTGGGGCCAGTTCCACCTTCATGGCCTCATTTTCACTTACTGACCTGTTTAATGAACTTCGATACAATCACACGCTGAGGTCCTGGGACCAAGACTGCCGCTCTGGTCGCCCTGAGGTCTGAATCCATGGTGATCTTGACCTGGAGGATTCTTTCTTCAAATCTTTCTTCAGAAAGAAAGGCCTACTATAAGAACGTACTATTTTGTTTGCTTGTTCCTGATTATCAAAAGCAAAAGTATATACTATAGAAGTTTTAGAAGCTAGACCTGGAGGTACACACCTATAATCCCAGCCTACAGGGAGGCTGAGGCAGGAGGATCATCATGATTTTGAGGCCAGCCTGAATTACAGAGTGAGACCTTTTCTCAAAAAAAGAAAAAAAAGTTTTAGAAAGAAGAAAAACAGAACTAAGTAAAAGCTCACTAACATCCTACCCATGTCACCATGTTCATGTGAGCTATTCCATTCCTTTGAACCCAAACTCAGGCACCTTGTGCATAGAATTCTGCTGCACACAGCTCACATCCTGTCCGGTTTCCTCCTCCTCGTCCTCTCCTCCTCCTCTACTTCTCTTTCTTTCTTTCTTTCTTTCTTTCTTTCTTTCTTTCTTTCTTTCTTTCTTTCTTTCTTTTCTTCTTCTTCTTCTTCTTCTTCTTCTTCTTCTT